TTTTTCATGTGACCTGTTTTTTTTCTACTTGTATAAATATTGTCAGGACTCACAATTGTGTCAAATTAGTCTAGACTGAAAAAATTTAAATCTGAAAAATTAATTTGAAGTCTGAAGCTGCAGGTTTTTTTCTGTGAATCATAATTATTGAGCTTCATATGAACAACATAAGCATCATTAAGAGAAACTCCACAACATCATCCATGATAAAAGAGGTCAAAGGTCATCAAATGTATTTCCTTAAAAAGTGTTATTGGCACACAATGAAACAATGAATGAGAAATATAGGACATAAAGTCAAACTGAATCATGACTACCGTAAACGAGATGAATAAACTCTTCAACTGATAATGAAAAGAATGACATTGTCAGCAGCTGAGGTGTTTCTGCTCTCAGTGTGTTGAAGTGCTGTTTCTCTCTCTCTGCTGGAGTTTGTGTTCACTCGAGTGGAATAGAGGTTTTTGTACGAGCCTTTCATTAGATTGTATCACTGTGGTACACATTCGGTGGAGGAACTAAACTGGTGCTCGGTAAGTCTGTCTCTTTTAAATCTCCATTAAAATATACAATTTTGATTAAAAAAAAATTAAACAAAAAAATATTAATTTTACAATAAATATTTCATTTAAAATATTGTCACTTTTAGATATTCAGAAAAAAAATGAATTATTCACTTTTTTGCAACGTGGCTAACTGTGAGTTGTATCAGTTTAACACAGGTTTTTATTTTCTTTCATTCATTTCACTGTGTTCATATATAGTTTATTTTTTATTGTAGATATCAGATATGAAAAAAATAGATTTGCCGTTAAAATATAAATGGAGCTACTTTCTGTAGATACTGTAGATCAATGATTTTGAATATATTTTGCTCATGTTGTGCTCATAATTTTGTTTTAATACAAGCATAATTTATACAATATATATGTACATACATAATTCAATTCAGTTGATTACGCTTCTAATTCCAAACAGTGATATCATTTCTAGTCACACAATCTCTGTTTGAAATTAAGTTACATTTTGAGTTGAAAATCTCACTTAACTAAAATGTAAAGACTTAATTTAGGGACATAAAAACTACTGGGATTAAAGCAGTAAATATTTTAGTATGTTTCATTTCATTTATGAGGTTTCATTGAAATGTATGTAGTGATTGTGTAGTTTGTATGTCAGCTCATTTAAAATGTTGATTTGGTTGTTTTCTAAAGTAAGCAGCTATATACTTTTCACTTGATCTGCATTCACAAAATTTCAATTCACAATTGTGTAATTTGAAGTGCAAACAAAAGAAAAAAAAAGAAAAGAAAAAATAAGACTTAACGTGAAGTTGTAAGAACTCTATGTTGAGTTATAAAAAACTACTGGAATTAATGCAGTCAGTGTCTTAGGTCATATAGTTTCATTTTATGAGGTTTCATTTAAATGTATATAGTGCTTTTATTTAGTTTGTGTAGTGTCTGCAGTATATATCAGCTGTAGTGATGTCGAATAATATGAATGATGAAATTGTTGTGATTTTTACTGCATTCCACACGTCTGCTGCTGAAAGTCATGTTGAAATGATGTGAGTGCTGCAGGGCAGAAGAGTGCTGGAGCTGCAGTGTGTTTTCTTTGTGTTTGTGAATGTGTTGTGTTTGTCTCCTGCAGCTGGTCCCACAGTGAAGCCCTCAGTGTCTCTGCTGCCGCCCTCTTCTCTGCAGATCTCTGGAGACTCAGCCGCACTGCTCTGCCTGCTCAGCTCTTACTCTCCACAGGGGGCGCTGGTGAGCTGGACACTGGACGGCTCAGAGGTCACCGAGGGGGTTGTGACCAGCGCAGAGAGCGAGCAGGACGGCCGCTACAGCCGCAGTAGCGTCCTGACCCTCAGCAAAGCACGCTGGGAAGAGGGAGAGCTGTACGTCTGCAGAGTAACACATGATGGAGCTCCTCATGAGGCCTCGTTCCACAAGAGTCTCTGTTAGTCGCTCGCAGTGCTGATGTTTCTCCAGTGAGCGCTGCTCTCTCCTGAAGATGAGCGTATCTGAGTGTCCTGTGTCAGGCAGGATTCACATGAGTCTAGTGCTGCAGCTGTAGTCATTTACAACTCAATACTGAAAGAGAGCTCTAGTGTCAAAGCACTGGCTGATCTTTCAATCTGCTGTGTTTGCTGCAACATTCAATAAAGCTTCTCAACAAACTCCATTTGTGTCTGACAACATCATTCAACTAACAGATGAAGATGCATGTAGTGTTTATTCAGGTGCTTTTCAGAAGCTCGATCAGTAGCAGTAAATCGGGTCAAATAAAGCTCTTGGGGTTTGAACATGGTCTCTGGAGACAGAGCTGCTCTATTCTGAGAGGATCACAATCACTCCACCCTGACAATGCAAATGGGATTTTCAGCCCACACTCCCAGAGTCACTGTTTGATTGGTTACATGATCTGGACTGAAACAGACCAGTTTCACTTCTGCTGTAGTCAAGCAGCACACAGACAAACTCACCATTAAATTTATGGCCGACTTAGAAAATATATATGAACATGTCATCAAACTCATCCAAGATGTCTAATCAATAGTCGTTCTGACGCTAATTACGACAGCTGTTAGATAACCACACTCACCGCTTTCAGAGACAGGCACTCTATGACCTCTCTCTGAATAACCTGATGTTTCTGGGGTTAATACTAAAATGCAATTCATCAACAAAAAAAAACGTCTTTTGTGTCAGATTGTTAGCTTGAAACACTAAAAATAACAGTTAAAAACAAGTAAATAGTGAAATTGACAAGTCAGACAGTCGATCTGCCATAAACATTGACATTATCACCTGAGAAAAATGTTTAATGGACTCTTTGCAGATGCAAACGAGGGTAAATAATGTGTTTTTGTCAGCTTTTTCTTCTTATATTAATGTTATGCCTGCATGTCACATCATTTATTACTTATCAGAGCACAGGGATGTTGAAACCTGAGATTCACACAGTCCATTCAGCATGCTTCTGTTTTTCAAATGAAATTAATTTCCAAATGCAGGTTCAGGAGGAGCCTAATCAGTCCTGTCAAGCATCATTACGAGTCTATATAAGCAGCAGCCATTGCGCCATCTCAGCAACAATCATAGGTGGAGCGTGTGTAAGGCTGGGGAAGGCTTAGCCACAGCAAGTTGGGGCAAAAATGCCACTAAATTGGACAAATGCCCCTGCACAAACAAATCTATTACGACTGTTGCTAACAAAATAAAAATGAATATAAAGTGTCGATTGCGGCATTAAAATAAGATCTGCTCATGTTGCACCATATTTCATTTTTAGGCGTTTTTACAGTGTTGCGCATTATAACCAATCACACACGATTCTGATGAGCTTAGGAATGCAATGGCCAATCAGAGGCGTTCAGATGAGTCATTGCTGAAACTTATTAGTTTTGAGTGAGCGCGCGTTCGCTGACTGAATTCCAGATGCGCAGATGTACTGTATGTACGATGTAAGTAAGAGATTAATTTCACAGTTTAGACAGCTTAAGTGATTATATTATAACCATAGTTTAGTTTTTTTGAGAGTGCTTAAACTTGCGATAGATCAAAGTTAGAGAGGCGTTCAGATGAGTCATCGCTGAAACTTATTAGTTTTGAGTGAGCGCGCGTTCACTGACTGAATTCCAGATGCGCAGATGTACTGTATGTACGATGTAAGTAAGAGATTAATTTCACAGTTTAGACAGCTTAAGTGATTATATTATAACCATAGTTTAGTTTTTTTGAGAGTGCTTAAACTTGCGATAGATCAAAGTTAGTGATAATGTCACTTTCTGTATAATAATTTATTCGCTGTTTGAATAACCTTGGAAAGGCAATGTTTTATAATTACCCATTTCTAATGTTTTTTTTGTTAAATTGTAATCACGTTAAATACAAATTTAGTCCTATTAAACATATTTTATTAGCCTACATGACACCCATGTCTGGTTCTTGCCTAAAAAGATGGGTTCATGATGTTTGTAGTTCATAGATTTGGCTGCTTTTAGCCTTACCCTGGAGTTGGTCCACCCTCCGCCTATGGCAACAATTCTTCCGGCATTTGTCCCCAGCCTGTCCCATGAACAATGTCCTAAGCCGGCAAACTCCAGCACTTCACCTCCAATGAAGACCCTCCTAATCCGTGTACCCCAGCAATTTCAACTCCTACTCAAATTCCAGCTAAACCACTTTCATCCGGAAAATCTCCCTTTCTAAAAATAAGAAAGCAGACAGTCTCTAAATATCAATATATGATTTACTGTGCTTTACTAAAGTTTTGCGAAGTTATAATCCAAAATGTTGCACAAAGAATACTGTGTATACTGTTAACATTTGCATACGTGTCATCTTTCTTACAGAAACTTTATATAGCTTGATCTCCAACTAAAACAAATATTTTTCTTGTATTCTGTTAGTTAAGATCTTCTCAATTATATATAACAAGACTATTCATAAAGTATGATGCTTTTTCACATCTTTTTTTTTTAAGTAAAGTGGTTAGGGTTAGGGTTACTAAGAGTTATTTTTTCATGCCATGAAAATGGAGCACTTCTAATATGTCAGCAAATTTTAAAGCCGTTGTTAAGAGTGAACAGACTCTCCTTGTCCAAGTCTTGCTTCTACCGCTGTTTTACTTTGCCTTGCCCAAAACTCACCTATCTTTGCTCATCTCTATTTTCCTCCTTAGTTTTCTCCAGAGCGGCCCCTAGCCTGAGACTGCCTCCACAACAAGGAACCGCTCTGGCTGCTCTTTGTATACCGCTCTCTTTTCTTCCTACAACCTTTATTTCAGAAGCGCTCTAGCTTGAGGCTGTCTCCACAAAGGTGCCTGCCTCTTCTTTCCCCTTTGCTACCTATCCACTACCTATATCAGCTGAACTGCCATCTCACACCCACATAACAACCACAACCCACACTGCCTCTGTGGAACCTCTGCCTGTCTCTGGGTGTTTTCACCAGTGGTGGAGGTAACGAATTACAACTACTCACGTTACTGTAATTAAGTAGTTTTTTCGGGTACTTGTACTTTTTTGAGTATATTTATGAAGCTGTACTTTTACTTGTACTTAAGTACAAATTAAGTAAAATAATCTACTTCGTTACTTTTAAATCATAGTTCGTTACTGAGTACGTCCACAATTTGAATTAATATTCAAACCTTTGACGGCACTTCAGTGGTCAATAAAGATATCCGACCGAAAACGGACCAATAAAAGCCCTGATATCTGAACCTGGAAAAGCCACCGCTACAGCAGGTGAAGAGCTGATCAGACATTGAGGGAGCTCAGGGTAACTTATGGACTCAAAGTTTGGAGAAACAAACTACATGGTAGTGTTATCATATACTATATCTATTTTGATACCGATACTGAAATATCTGACACGTTCCGTTACTCATTTCCCACAGTATCTACCGGATATACACCGATACAAACTGCGTCTCTCTCTCTCCTCTCCAACAGTGAGTTTGACACGCATCCGCCTCCTGTCAATTACAGAGTCTGAATGTCTGCGCGGGATTGCAGGTATTCTGCATAATTTTAATCATTCCCGCGCAAATGTGGCGAGCACTTTACTGTAACATGAGAACACAGTCATGTAAACGCAGAAAACTGGATGCAAGCTCTTAATTAGGCCTAACTTATACAAGTGAACTGCCTGTCCTCTCACACCGATATTGCTTGTGCGCAAACCAGGGCCGGATCCAGGCATGGGCAGGGGTGGGCTGAGCCCACCCAAATTACTGTTTTGCCCACCCAATCAGAATTAGATAAAGATTACATAAATTGTTTGTGCATAGATTAAAACTAATCTGAAGCGGACTGTATTTTGATAAGTTTAAGCTATAGCTTGAGACTGCCCAAACAATCATAAAATAACTCCAGAAAATTGCAGCATTTTTCTTTTATTAGCTGAATGCAAGGCGCGCTGAATTCATGCAGAGGCTTCAGTCTGCTGCAGAAAAGCAGAGGCTGACAACGAGTGAAAACGGGCAGAAATATTTGCGCGCTATCACGGGGAGTTTGCGAGTTACAAGGAGTTTAATACACGAATATGTATCATAGCCTACCACTGAAATTACCTGAGCAGTTTTAATGTTCTAAGAGAAAAGAAAAGAAACATCATTAAATGACGTGCATTCATTGCATGGACGGGGCACGAGCATAATATAAGCGTCTAAAATGCATGTAGGCTATACAGTTCAGTTGGTGAAAGGCCCATGACAGATCTAAAGTAACCAGTTAGAAATTTGTTACCCATTCTCAATGGGAAAGTGCCCAAGCAACATTGCTCAAAAAAAGTTGCCCCATGTATCATCAGCCTTATTCATTTATTTTCTAAATGTACAATGCCTTGCCTTACCCGATTGACTTCCATTGAAAACAGTTGTGCTTTTTAATATTATGGAAATTTCAATAGGATAAATTAAAATTTTAAGGATACTTTAATAATTAGAATGTTCAAAATAATAGCATTTATTATAAACAATTTTTTAACATTATAAATGCTTTACTGACACTTTTGATCAATTTAACGTGTCCTTGCTTAAAAAATATTAATTTCATTAAAAAAAAAATAGTGTATACCATATTTAGTAATAAACTATTTTCATTTTTATTTAGTAAGATTACACATTTTCAAGTGTGCAGTGTGACTAACAACAGTGTTATTTTCTTTATTTCTTCTTTTGATGTCCTTCAGTCGACTGTGGACACAGAGTTTGAGCTGTACCATGACTACACCTACACACAACAGGGCTTGCATGAGATCCTGACACAATGGAGGATAGAGCTGGACGCCTACAGCAGAGAGCCTGGCCACTACAGGTATCCTCAGTTCTTCCTCTTCTTCATCAATATACTATTTTTTCCTCTCTCTTGTAAATGGCTCGTGTTTTTTTCTCTTACCAAACAGGTTCATGGTGACTGAGTGTTATGATTATGAAGAAATAGGAAAAACCATGAGGTACTATGGCACAAGCTATGTTACTGAAAGCGACTTCCCCTTTAACTTCTATCTGCTGTACTTTTCTTTTATTAGCTGAATGCAAGGCGCGCTGAATTCATGCAGAGGCTTCAGTCTGCTGCAGAAAAGCAGAGGCTGACAACGAGTGAAAACGGGCAGAAATATTTGCGCGCTATCACGGGGAGTTTGCGAGTTACGAGGAGTTTAATACACGAATATGTATCATAGCCTACCACTGACATTACCTGAACAGTTTTAATGTTCTAAAAGAAAAGAAAAGAAACATCATTAAATAACGTGCGTTCATTGCATGGGCATAATATAAGCATAATATGGGCATGGGCATAATACGAGCATAATATAAGCGTCCAAACTGCAGTTCAGTTGAAAGCTTACCCCTTTTGACTTGCTGTTAATGTTGAATGTAATAATTACTTACTATAGCAACAGTCGGCTCGACTGTATTATCAAGTATTTGCCTTTTTTTTTTCTTTTGTCAAATTCCGCTGTTTTGAATTGAAAGTTGGGCTGTCATTTACGTGATTCATGTAATTCATAATTATTATGACGACAATAGCACATTCCGTCTTGCATTTTCAACATATTAGGAATACAACTAAAATTGAATGGGTGCATATTTTAAAATAAAAATATTATTTGCAGTTCAGATTGATTACTTTACAAAAATCGTATTATTTATTTAGTTCCTTTACCATTACCATAGTGGTCTGGTCTTAATATTTTCCTCAAAACAATAGTCCCCCTAATGTTCTAGATATGATTATGGCCTTGTTTGGCATAAATAAAAAAATTAGTTGAAAAAATCACCAGTGTAGAAACAATGATACAGAGAAAGAGAACAAAGAGGGTTTTTATTATTATTATTATTCAATAAAGAAAAAAAAAATGTATTTTGTTGTGAAAGTGCATGATATTCTAGGCTGCCCATGAAAGGTTTTTTTTTTTTTTTCCCAGTGTACATATAACAGTCTATAGGCCTAGTTAATATATAGTTACTATAGCAATATCAACAGTATACATATCTAGACTTTTAGTATACAGTATAAATATCCATTTATCTAAATAAATAGGCCTAACATACTGCATATGGCTCTTAAATCACTGCTTATAAAAAAATTCAGTGTTGTCATATTTTGAATATCTCAAACTGAATTGAGGTCATTTGTTTTATAATTTTTTTACTGACTGTGTACTTGTCCTTTTTTGTAAATTCAATTGAAATCAAGCTTCCTTGTGCTGTAAGCTTTTGCAACAACGTTACTCTATTTTAAAGACACAAATACACAGAATGAGCAAACTGAGATTTTTTAAGACTGAGATTTTTGTAATGGTAATTTATCAATATGTACTGTATATGTATGTAAATAAAAGCCTATATTAAAATATGTTTATCATATAAAGCGAATGTGTCTTTTTAGAAGACTTGGATTAAACCAATTTCAAAGCTTGAAATAATGATTGCCTTGAAAAAATGGATGGACAAAAAACTATTTGAATAATAAAATATCTATATGGCAGTATAGAATATGTGGTAGTTTTGCCAATGGTATTGAAAATGATTAGTCGTCATGAAATAAAAAATGTTATTATTAGTCTTGTGGTGAACAATTGAACCATGCCAATCAAACCAAAGTCAATACACTGAAAAAAAAATGGTCTAAGAGACGGTCTAAGAGAGCATATGTTCCAGCTGGACCTCAGGGAACCAGCACAGCCAGAGCAACCTCATTACATTGTTGTTTGGGATAATGTCAGCTTCCATCGCACTGCTCTGGTTCGTGACTGGTTTACCAATAACCCGAGGTTTTCTAACATCTTTCTGCCTGCATACTCTCCCTTTCTAAACCCGATAGAGGAGTTTTTTTCGGCATGGCGGTGGAAAGTGTATGACCGAGAACCTTATATCCGTGCTCACCTCCTCCAGGCCATAAAATGGTAACGCTCAAATAAATTTGCATGTGGATATGGCAAAAAAATAAAAAATAAATCAAAATAATCCTCTCCCGATGTAAATGTAACTCCCTACAAATTAGTGTAGCCTCCTCTTATACATGATTCTGTATTAAAGGACATGCCGTTTTTGTCACTTTCAGAGTGTCTGCATGATGAAAATATGCGCAATGAATGATTGTACCTGCACTACAAAAAAAATGCTTTTCTTACTTAGTATTTTTGTCTTGTTGTTTCCAGTCAAAATATCTAAAGATTCTTAAATCAAAATGCATTTTCTACATAAAAGAGCAAACACCTCATGCCATTTTTCTTAAGTATATTTTTCTAATTTTGCAAATGATCTGCCAATGGGGTAAGAAAAATAATCTTGTTTCCATTTGCATTCTTGTTTTAAGTAAAATGCACTTAATTTAGATTCCAACATTTGCAGCGTGAATGAATGAATGAGGTATTTAAACATCGCTTACGCTTTAAAAAGGGGGAGAAGACCGAAAGAAACTCTGGGTTTAACAAAGACAACCTGCTCCCAACTAGGTTAGGTTCACAGAGTAAGTTACCATGGTAACTGACTCTGAGTATAAGTTACCTCTCTTTCAAACAAACCTATATTATAGTATACTTGATTTTACATTCTGACCAATGTTCCCTCTAAGTTGAGTGCATGCTTGACCACGCAGAAGAAATAATATGCTGCTCACAGGACAGACACAAAAATGATTTGACAAAGCCATTTGATTGAATTCTAGTAAATGTGAAATAATTGCGGTGCTCAGGTAAACCGTTATAGAGTTGCTGTCGCTATAGAGTTAGAACCGGTGAATGCAGTTTACAGGTTTCATAGAAAGAGAACGATGTGCGCCAAATGAGTCGCTGTAGAAATCAAATACTTTAATTGCTGCGGATGAAATAGCTCAACACGAGAGCCAAGCAACGCAAACACAATGACATGTGAAATAAAACATTATCATGTTTTAAAGAAGAGTGGCTTGATTAAGTGCTGGAAATAACGGATGATGGGAGAACAGTAACAAAACTCGAAGACATTTACAGTCACACACAGGTGAAGTAGTGTGCAAACTCTACTGCATGGGGATGATTTAGATAACTGTAAAAGAATTCACGTTCACGTTTTTTAAAAATTTATTTAGTTTATTTTATTATTTTATATCACATTATATTATTATAAAGAATTGAACTGTTCTGCATGAGATTTAAAAAAATATATGATTTTATGTAATGGAATTTCTTGGTAAGTAACACAGCACTGTAAAAAAAACGTTTTCTAAGGTAACCTAAAATGTGCATCTTTAGTTACATCAAGGATCAAAACAAATATAAATAACACGTTTAAGTTAAAAGTTACACACATTTTTGCGTGTGTGCGCTGTACATTTCTGGTATAAGGAAAGTTTTTGCTAAGGTGGTGGAAATGTCCACCCAATAGAGAAAAGTTGTGCTAAGCAAGGGGGCGGGGGGGGGAGAAGGAACATTGATTCTGGCTAATGTTATTTTTAGTGGCTATTGTTGAACTATTGTTCAAGGGCCAGAGGTTTCAAACAAAAATAAGTAAATAAATAAATGTCTCATTTCCTGGCTGGGACTCAAACCACGGACCTTCATGCTGTAAGTACACTGTGCTACTCACTGAGCTACTTTGTATTGTTGTTGGTCACTCTTTATATAATTTAATGAAATACAGTTTTACAGAAGATTAATTAGTGTGAAAGAATATGAAAAATGCATATGAAGAACAGAAGCATTATTATGAGAAACTCCACAACATCATCCATGATAGGTCAAAGGTCACTAAAATATATTTATTTCAAAATTTTATTTTTTTTTTCAGCACATTTTGAAGGTATTTTATATGAAATAGTTTAATTCTTACTTTTTGAAAAGCATTTTTTCCTAAACTAAATTGAGTGTTACTAACAGCTGAGGTGTTTCTGCTCTCAGTGTGTTGAAGTGTTGTTTCTCTCTCTCTGCTGGAGTTTGTGTTCACTCGAGTGGAATAGAGGTTTTTGTACGAGCCTTTCATGAGATTGTATCACTGTGGTGGACTTTCGGTGGAGGAACTAAACTGGTGGTGAAATGTAAGTGCTTTTTAATTCTCCATTAAAATCATACAATTTAGATTGTTTAAAATGTTTTAAAAATTAAAACAACAAAATTATTATTATTGTAACAATAAATTTTATTTAAAATAAATATTTAATCTAAAATAGTGTTTAGATTGTTTATAGGTAAAAAAAACATGTTTAGACATTCAGAAGAACTGAATTATTTACGTTAACAAACAATTCCTGTCTAAACATTCTTTCGTTATGTATCTCACTGTGACTTTGATCAGTTTATCACAGTTTTTTTTTTCTTTTATTCATTTCTACATTGTCTTCATATGTAGCTAATCTTATTATTGTAGATGTCATACACGGAAAAAAGAGATTTAACATTAAAATGGAAATGCTGCTATTTTCTGTTTTGCTCATGATGTTCTTTTAATTCAGTGGTTTTAATATACATACAAAATATGTGTACATTTTTAAACTCATTTGATTCAGTTGTTTTCTAATTCTGAACAGTAATACGTTGTAATTTGTAGTGAAATAATGTGTGCTTGAAATTACATTTGAAAAGTATAAAAAAGATGACCTGAATATCTCACATAAGCAAACTGTTATGTCAGGATATAAAAACTAGTGGAATTAAATCAGTCAGTTTTTTAGTAAGTTTAGTTTCATTAATGAGGTTTGATTTAAATGTGTAAAGTGTTTGTGTAGTTTGTATATTGTGTATATATTGGCTCAAGTGATCTTTAACAGGATGCTATTTTTATACTGATTTTTACTGCATTCCACACGTCTGCTGCTGAAAGTCATGTTGAAATGATGTGAGTGATGCAGGGCAGAAGAGTGCTGGAGCTGCAGTGTGTTTTCTTTGTGTTTGTGAATGCCATACAATTTAGATTGTATAAAATGTTTTAAAAATTGAAACAACAAAATTATTATTATTG